AATGATAAGTAGTATTGATTTTTTCTTTTGCGCTCTTGTATTTTGAATCGCTCAAATGATTGTCAAAACGCACTAAAGAATGTATTCTCGAATGGCTATGATAGTCCAAACGCGCTATAGATTGCCTGTGTTTATGCTAATAACACTAATGAAGTTTCATTTTTGGTTGAATAATTGTCAATAAATGCAACCGTTTGTCAATTGGTGCTAGTGAATTTTCATTGCGCGCACATGAAACAACGTTCCACCCAAATGATTGTCCAGTTGTTCAGTTGATTGTCTATTGATACTGTTGAATGCTCGCGCGTATTTAAATATCGCTATTGAAAGTCGTTTCGCGCCAATGATGTTGCTTACGGTGTTCAAGAAAGTACAATAAAAGTTATTGAAGCATCGCTTGGGACAAATGAGTGTACGTTTTACGCTAATGAACAGCAAAAGGTGTATATTGTATATTTTTACTAAAAAACAGTAACGATTCTCAATATATAAATGTCGTGCTCATTTTGTCGATTCAATTTGTGATAATGTCCTCCTCGTGGTCGGAATTTAACAGCTGCTGAGAGCAAAAAAAGTAGTCACTTTGAAATAAAAAAATTGCTGGTATCATTATTTTCGCACCCAGATGCGGCGTCTATTCGGGGTCGGCGTCTATTAATATTTTGCAGAAGTACATATGTACTTCTGTATTTTGAGCTTTAAGCTCGCAGTCTACCATGACATTGTACTTCTTTGTAATTTGAAAGCGCTTAGAGCAGATTTGTATAAGCGCTATATAAAAATAAAATTATTATTATTATTATTAAGTGCGGCGTGTATTTGAGGACGGCGTCTATTCGGGGGAGGCGTCTATTCGAGTAAATACGGTAACTGATGATAGTCGTCCTCTTTTTACAAAGATAATAAGTTTTATGTACATTCTAAGAGAAAAATGTAAATGGATGATTTACAGTAAATTTACAAAACTCTGGATATTGATAAACTTTTTCAGTGAACCTAAGAGAATTTCAAATTTCCCCCATATTGTAGCTAGCCCGCTGATGAGAGTACCTGCAGGCGTTTAAAAAGCTGATAAAGCGTAGTGTACCTTGTTATGATTAAGATTATAACGCCATGATCAGGCTCCGCGGGGCATAATTTTTATTAGAAAATGATGGATTGAAATGATGAATTGCCCTAGTTCATATGACATTCTATTGTTTTAACGCTAAGGATTATGGTCGCCAGAAGGGATCARAGTGACWRMATWTCAAATAAAATGTACATGAACAATCATTTATACATGATATATATCAAAAAACAACATTGAAGTTCTACTKTAGTMGACAATATAAATGKRTYCAAMTTTCCRCTGTTTTTGAGCATCGTTTTCCGATGTAAACATGCTGTGACGTCATAATGAAATAGCGCAATTATTATGTTTAATTATTAAAAAAATGTATGTTTTTATTATTATTATTATTGTTTTTATTTGATTATTAATGTATGTTTTTATTATTATTATTATTTTTAAACATATTATTATGTTTAATTATTATGTTTTCAAAATGTCGGCCAAATTACCAAATTTCGCGGTACCTGATGATGGAGTACAAACACTAAAACTGTGCAACATAAATAYCACTAAATACTGCTAAATTATGCTAATTCTGTTGTTTTCTATTGTTTAATTAACACTATTTTGTAGTAAATAGTGGAAAGTGTTGCACACATTTAATGTTTGTACTTTAACAAGGCTTAAATACTCACATTGACGGATTAAAATCTTGAAGTAAATAATATGATACTACTGACGATAAAATTATTGACAGTGACGTGGCAAAGCCTTTTAGAATATTATCAGCATATTTGACAACCGCTGCAACGACCAGACCACCAAATGCCTAAAAAATCAAACCAATGGTAACTATAGGAACTGTAGTCATGGTAATAGTAGATTGAGACAGGTTTATTCCATTAGTAATGAGGAATCAGGGTTCTAGTGATCAATGTTTTAAAATAAATTCTCCTGGATTTATAGACTATATGTTATTTACCGTCCGTATAGGAAATCACTTCCCGAGGTCTTGACAGTACGCAAAAGACCGAGGGGAGCGTATACGGACCGAACTATATCCGGTAGATAACATTTGTATTTTTGTATTTGTGTTTTCTTTATTTGTATTTTCTGTAACTTTTCTCGCAACCTAGTTGCAGGATACTGTAGACCGGGGAGATCGTGAAATATCGGAACGCGCGCTAGCCAATCACAGCGCGCAAATGACTAGGATACCGGACCAAAAAAAAAACAAACAAACAAACAAACAAACACACACACAAAAACGGAATATCCCTTTTCTAATTCAAAGTGGAAAACATTTGTTTTGATTAAAAATGCGACTATAAAATTCATCTTTTCCAGTTGAAATTTAAAACTCTGTATCCCTTAAAGGACTAATGCGTAAGCCTTTGGGAACATAGGTTTTTTTGTGTGTGTGTGTGTGTCTGGCAAGGACTTTGTGCATGAGAATATATAGCGGTTAACCGTTTAGAAGTAGAAAAAAGAGTATTAGGGGCCAAGATGTATGGTAGGGTCAACAGACATACATATCAGCCGTGGAAACGCAACCAGTCCAAACAAAAAACAAACAAACAAATAAAAAAACGAACAAACTAAAACAAAAAACAAAAAAACAAAAAAACAAACAAAAAAACGAACAAACTAGAAAAAAAAACAAAAAAAAAAACGAACAAACTAAAAAAAAACAACAAACAAACAAAAAAGAACAAACTAAAAAAAAACAAGCAAACAAAAAATACGTTACTAGCATGGTATCTACTATAAGAGAAGTGGATGCAAAAATATTATGGAATTGAACTGCTGAGTGAAACGCAGAGGAAATGAAAAAAAAAACATTGGCTGAAAACAAGATAACAAAGAAAAAGGGAAAGAAAGATGGAACGAAGTGGTGTACAATTCTATTAGAACAAAGATCGTGATTTGACGAAATAACAAAATAGAGACAGGCAATACGAAAAGTGAAGATGTCCAGTAGAACAATAGGCATTGTCTAACATAATCCTACAATTCTTTATTTTTGTTGTCTTGATCAATCACAAGCTTTGTTCTGACGGTAGTGATGGACCCGGAACGAATAATAGGAATGAAGAAATGGAAGGGACAAAATAGATGACTGAATGAAAGAAAATGGAAATGAAAAGACAGATTATTTACCTGTAAAAATATAACCATCCATGTAATGTAATTATAACCCTGGAAAAACCCATTTGCTTGAACAGCTTTGCCATCATTAAATAGTACTCCTAATAAACCAAATATTATTCCAAAAGAACCTACATGTAGAACACAGAAAATATGAAAATGTGAAGCACTCAAAAATTATTCTATTTTTCCAATTTGAAGAGAAGATTATATTTACTGTATATGCTCTYACAACTACAAGATGTACAACACGGTCATCTCCATTGAGACAACCAATTACATCATGTAAAGCAACATTTTATAGGTAATATTCCCATGTACCTAGCTGAATATTTCTTAGCCATATTGAAGCCTTTGTTCCCTTGAGTATCTTTTCAAAGTACACTCCAGCAAAACCACTAGAACAACAAGCAGACAACACAGCTATCAGACCGACAAACTTGCTTGACGCTGTAAGGTCTTTTTTGGCACTTTTGTCCCCATCTGTTGGCCACTAGTGAACACAAAATTGAGTTCGTCATTCATTAAAAAAGCTAAAGGCTGCTGCATATGTGATTTGACAATGTTACTGATTTGTCAAGGTGATGAAAATAGCCATCCATTTCATGTTAGTAATTATGCCATACAAAGGGACTATTGGAAATCCTTTGTTGTGATTGTCTATGCCACTTGGGATCTATTTTCAATTG